TGATTATGATTATGATTATGAGGTTGATGGGGGGGGGGGAAAACCGAGGATAAAAGGAAGACAGATTTGAAGCTCCCACCGATAGAATGGTGAAAAACGGCAGAAACAAGAAAGAAAAGCGAAAAAACAAAGGTACCCCGTTGTTGGCGGGTATGTTCCAATAGTAGTGGAATTCCTTGCATCGCGAGAGGGTCTATATCGATCTCTGCCTTGGAATTCAACACTTTTATTAATCCACAATATGCAATCAGCTTGGATGTTACAACTTTACATGGCTTGTTTTGTTTCGTTTTATTTATTTTTTATTGTTATTTTCTTTTTCATCTTCTTTTTCATTTTTTTTACTCTTCTTGACTCGTATCCTCAAGTAGGGAGAGAAAGAGCAGAGAGGGGATTGGGGGAGATTTTTGGGGGGGGTGGTTTGGAGGGAGGCCACACACCCCCGGGTTTGGTTAAAAAAAAAATAAAAATAATAAACCCAACGAAAGGAAGGAATTTTCTTATTGGAATGTTAAAAGGGGGGGTGTGTGGGCTTGACACAACTGCAGTGTGTGTGTGTATGTGTATGTGTGGATTGTGATACACATGGTGGAGAAAGATATGCAGGATTGACAATACTTTTTGGACTTATCAAACCACTTGTTTATACTCTGGATAAACTATGCTAATATAGTTCAATGGTTGAATAAGCTGGCCAGAACCGCCTGTGGTGTATGGACAAGTTGCTCCCTAAATATGGGGTAGGCTGATGATTATCCCAGCAACGCTATTATAATGGGAGCATGTTATAGGTTGGTTAGTGTTAGGTAGTTATCAAGGGTTGAGATGTGGCCAATCGATGACTTTTGTTCCCTATAGTAATGCATATTATGAACGTTGGTGGTGGTGGTGGAGGAGGAGGAGGAGGGAGAGGAGACGACGACGACGACGACTACAATGCTGCTGATGATGTATGTTCTTTTAGCTGTACCCTCCTATCCGGCATTACACAGGGCTCCACTGAGAGACTTGCAGTAGAGAAACAAATCAACGTTGTACACAACTGCAGTGAGGAGCTCCTGTCAAGGATTGGAAGACTTGTCACAGATACGGAGTAGAGGGAAGGGATAAGTGGGTTAATTGTCTACTCTTTTTCTTGTCATTTTCGATCTGGAGGGGAAAACTGAGGGGAGGAGGAGATACTCTTCAGAGGATTCAGAAAGCAAAAAGGATCGATCACCCACACCCTAACCAAAGAAAACAGATGAGACGACGGGACTGTACCTGACCCAGACTCTTACAATGATCACATCTCAATCAAATTAAAAATAACTGTCATTTCCTGAATCCAAGGATTGCAATGATGAATCTCTGGTTCGTGACCCATGAACAAGACGACTTCGAAGGAAGGCTCACTTTCTCTTGTGTCTGGTCGCTCATCCTGGAACGCCCTGATTTGCTGATCACTTTTCTCTTGCTCCATACGGAGTCTGAATCTCCAGTTGGACTTTTCTGGGTCTTCCCCACTTAGTTAATGCTCATTACCAGATGGGCCTTTTTCATCCCTTAAGGAACAGGTAACTTGTTTTCCCTCCTTCCCGTGACCTTTTCTTTTTCTCTCGAAGTTCCTTTTTTTCCAGGCAGGGAGATTGTTGCCACATTTCCGCCCTTTTTCTCAAACCCACCCTCAGGAGGTTTCACCTGTAGTATTGGATAATTTTGTGGCAGGACAATCCGGGAGTTACGACTACTACTAGTACGATTCGGTAGTAGGAGAGCAATACTAAATGGAAATTCACTGGTGATCACGCATTACACAATCCACTAATTTTCCATGATCTTCCACATCCCTCCTCATTTAACCATGTTACATATAGGTAGTAGATCATTGCGCCCTGATTGGCCCGTCTCAGCTAAAAATAAAATAACATGTTAGAAAAAATTGTTGCCCGTCTAGGTTTTCCTGTCCTCTCCCTCTGTTCATGTGGAAAGGGAAGAACGCCTCGAAGTTTGGTTTACGAATTCGTCAGTGGGATTCTCCCGTTTCCAGGAGATCAATGGAATTTTTGATATGTGGATTTGGGCACCATTACTCCGTATTGTTTCTGCATTGGATCGAATCGAAACCGATTTATGTATGTGGCTAGGGTGGGTTTGCCCTTTTTTGATAATTTAATTTTTTTTCTTTTTCTAAATCCTTTTTTTGCTTTGGCTCGGTGTCGCGCGTCCTGTACCCTATGTTTCTGTACATAGTAGTACATCTCAGATCCTAGACTGGGGGTGATAAATTAAAAAAAACTATACATCAATGAGTTGATTGTGTTTGTCACTAGTGTGACAGTAGTGGGTTTTTATTAGGAGGGGGTCCAACAGAACACAGCACATTGGATGATTGGGGGGGCAAAACACTTGGTAATACCCAGGTAATTAATTCAATGTAATCATAATCAGAAAGGGAGGGCTTGAGGAAAAATGGAAAAAATGGAAGAAAAAATGGAAGAAGAAAAAATTCATCTAGAATTTTTTTTTATTATGAGCTGAAGTAAGAATCCTTCACAAACACCTGCGAAGCTATTTGTAGATATCCAAGTGCTGAAGAACTGAAGAATATAATTATTGTAATGAATCTGCATTTCTTGTGCTACCCTCCCCCTGGGCCCATGTAAGGCTGTTGATGTAAATTGACAATTATTACTACATCTGATACTTGGAGCTCAAACTCGATCCATGGACTTGTTTGTTTGGAACTGACCGCAAAAGTCAAAATGGGGTTCAAAACTGCTAGTATACTAAGTTAGTTTAGTGAACTAGAGCTGTCCCAATTGAAGGCGCCATTATTATTGATTTCTTCTTTTCTCTTTCTCTCGCTCTTTTTTTTTTTTTTTTTTTTTTCCCCTTAGCCTCTTACCTTTTTATTTTTCTAAACCATTTTATTATTATTTTTTTTACTCAACCTTTTTTCATAAATCAAAAAAAAGTTTAGAGGAAAAAGAGACGAAAAATAAAACCAGATAAACTTTTACCATCATCACTTAGCATTACCGCCTATTTATCATCGGCGGTCTTGACTTCCAATCCGTTGAATCCCTTGCTTGACCGTTACCACTTCTTCAACTTTGACTGGGTGACAAAAACCATCACTGAAAGGGTCCACGGGAAATTTCCTGGTCACTGTACTTTTCTTTGAGGGGGAAAAACGGGCAGAGTGCAGCGCGCTAGCGGTTTGTTTTTCTTCTTCCTGTTCTTGGGGAAGTACTTTCTTTTACTTTGTTCGACCTTCTATTGCTGCAAGTGTAAGTCTTGATTCTTATTCGAGTACTTCGGGGTTTCCTTGTCAAATCCCTACCTATCGCCCATACTCCTCTGACACTAGCATTGACTTTCTTCTCTGCCCTCTTATCTATCATTCTTAGCCCTCTTATATTCAACCCTTCCGCACCCTACATTCTGTCACTGCTGAACCGTTTTTTTTTTCTTCCTTTCTGGCTTTGACTCCTGTTCCTTTCTCCCCTGCTTAAAATATTTTGTTTCATCTTATTTTACTTTTTTATTTATAATCCTTTCTTGCATCTTTTACTGTTTATTCACCTTTGACTTCCGTCCGCTTCACCACCAACTCTACTTACATGGTGCATAAAACCCCCCGGACAAAAGAAAAAGTAAAAAAAAAAAAAGTCATTTCGCTAACCCTGGTTTGCTTCTTCAGTTGTCCATCATGACAGTTGCTGCACCGCCTGTGGCACCCGTTCACGAAAATGGTATTAACGGCAGTGCCCCCGGGCACCACCATGTCAACATGAGCCTGCCACGTTTCCACCCAATCGCAATGAACCCGAGCCAACCAGTGCATCCCGAGCAAATGATGCCGAATCATTCTCATTTCCGTCCTTTTCCTCCACCTCATCCTATGCAAGAAGCGGGCCCACCGGGCCCGGCTCCTCATCCTCCTTCTCATATAGATCAGATTGATGCTCGCTTGAGGCAATTGGAACATGAAGAAGCAGCTCGTATGGCCGCTCGTAGCCACCTTCTTGCTATTCGAAAGCGGGAAGACGAAGAATTTCGTAGGATGACTGAGAGTGCCGAAGCCGAAGAAGAGGTATGCTATAATACATTATGATTAACTCGATCACCCGCTAGATATAAGTCTGACATGGGGAATTGCCCGCACAATAGGAACTTCGTAGGCAACGGAAACGACTGAAGCGAGAATCTATGGGATTGGGGTATAATGCAAGCATGGACTCTCCGCCACTGCGGCCGACGCCGCCACGTCGTTTGTCAGAGACCAATGCAGCTACCACCCTTGCGTTCTTCAAGCAGCAAAGTCCTCCAGAGCCTCGTCCCATCCCTCCACCACCTGTACAAGCACCGCCGTCTCATCCTCCCCCTCAGCATATGCCTCATGACCCCACTGCCGGCACAATTCGACGAAAGCAAAAATATACCATTAAAAATGTTGAGGCTTGGGGTGAACGTCACGGACGACCTGCAGCACACGACCCGTCTGGACGCGCGTTGTGGAAGCGACCATCGGATGGTAGTTTAGTGTATCTGACCTGCCCAGTTTCCGGCTGTGGAAAGGCCGACTTTGTGACGCTCCACGGTTTCATGTGCCACTTGACAAAGAAGCATAAAGATCGCAGTCTGGGTAGCCAATCAAGGGCGTTGGAAGTTTGCGGGATCGTCTATGACCCTAATGCACCCCTTCCGCCGGTATCGACTGTACCGCGTGCGTCGACCGAAGAAAGTCGCGGGGACTCGGCGCCAACAGACCCTGAAGGTTACCCACAAGAGATGGACTACTCTTCTGCATCGGATGATGAGGAGAGCCGAAAGAACCCTGTGAAGACAGAGGCGGCAGATCGGACTTTACCCGTACCGACGGTCCCCTTCCCGCACCCCGAGGAGCCATCGAAAGCACGAAAGCTCAATAATTCTACGAAACAGTCGATATCCTCCATAATTGATCGTGATCCAGAAGATGAACCCCGGGAGCGTTTAGTTTCTATCCCCCCTCGCCCAATCGAGGCCCTATCGCGAGCCTCACCGGAGCAAAAGCCCTCTATCCCAAATGAAACTGAGGTGTCTCGGCCCGATGAACGAAATCAGGAACAAAATGAGTCGAAGGAGACTACCGAGTCAAAATAATACAATCGATCCTATTTATTTTTTTATAATACGGTCTGTTGCGCTATAAAAAAAAATACGCAGAACTTGCATTTGCATCCTACGAGCACGTTTTAGCTTTTGACTCCTTTGCAGCTGCGTGAATACCCTTCTATGCATTCTTGGGTGGCTTTGTCTACTTCATATTTCAATTCTCTTCGAGTAATGTAATGTCTTTTCCATCATTGCTGGTCATTCTGTTTTGGGGCGCTGGTCGACTTGCGTCTGTTCGTTTCCTGTGTCAATTTTGCTTTAACATAGTGGATACCTACGATATAAACTGATCTATATCTATGACCCGTGTGACTTTGTGGGGGTCACCAAGAAAAAAAAACCCTGTTGTGGTGCTCGCGTGCATCTGCTCTCCCGTGTCTCCATTGAGATCTTGCATGCCGTTTATGCATCTCTTTTATGTTACTTAATGGATATTGCGAAGCCCGCTAATGGCTTTTTGCATATTTGCAACAGACCCTTGATATTTGCCAAACAAATAAATCAATACATCATGTTTATGCCTTAAAACACACCTTTTGTCTGCTCAAGATGACCCATGACTGCAGGTGCCCTGAACTCTCGATGAGCTGCTTACGCACAGAACAAGATTTCGCTACAGGGCAGGCAGATAACCATCATCTACATGGAGGTCACCGGTCATCACAACTCTTTTTCCTTGCCAAATCTCACTGATCTCCATCCTTCAACACCAACACATGCACCAGATACCCCGACCCAGACGCCAACTTCTTCCCCAACGCCTCATCACTAACCCTCCAAACCCGAAACACCCTCATCGTCTCCTTCAACCAAGTCTCAAACACCTCAGGCGACCGCTGCTGCTGCGCAATCACACAAACCGTCGGCTTCTCTTTCCTCTCCCCCAACTCCCTCCCAGGAGCATAAACAGGCCTTAACCGACAAACATCCGCACAAGTCCGCACAAACGGCGCAATCAACGCCTCATTATAAATACAATCACAGGAAATCAGAACATCAAACCCTTTATCCTCATGCCCTGTGTTCCCGTCATTAGTAGCAATACAATCTTTCAATGCGGCAGGGTCATCCGTTTCCCAATCCAGGGTGGTGAACGTAATATTTGTGCTTTGGGGAGTTGATTTCTGTGATGTTTTGTTGTTGCTGCTGCTGCTGCCATGTTTGCTGGGTTTCCTGTTGCTACCTGCCTTGGACTTGGGGTGTTCTTGCTTTGGGGCATTGGCCTCGAAATTGGAGCGTAGGAGTCGATGCACGTATTCTTGGTCTGTGGCTACGTAGTGCGTGATTGTGGGGGAGAGGGTCAGGGCTATTAAACCTGAGATTCCGCAGCCTAGTTCAAGGACTGTGGATGTTGGCGTGAGGATTGTGCTGGTCCAGAAGGGGTTGGTTTGCGTTGTTATCCATTCTGCGAAGAGGGGGGTGATTTTCCAGAGGACTGGGTTTTTGTTCTATGGTTAGCTCATTGAAAGTCTAGTGTTGGTGGTGGTGGTGGTGGTTGTGGTTGATAGATTGATTGGGTAGATTGGTTGACTGATAGAGTATGTAGATAGGATAGGATATGAATGTTTGTATGGAGATAAGGTAAGATGTCCCAGGTTTGGAATGGATATAGTGGATTAAATGAATGAATCCATGTGAATGTGATAGCCAAGAAAAAAAAAAAAAGGGAAAAGAAAAAGAGATATTTTACCTGCACCAGTTGTACCACCCGCGCGCGACGACGACAACAGCGTCGGAGATTGGTTAATGGTATAGTCTTGTCCGTGGATGGTTACATCGACAGATGTCGCTCGTGAATCGACGAAGCCCAGATTGGCCGAGGGAATATCTTGTGCGAAGAGAAGAAAGCATTCTAACAAGGATGTTAAATTAACTAGTGCGCGCCGGCTATTTCGTGGATTTTTTTTTTCCTTAGGTTTTCATGCGGTTGATATGAGAGCATAGCAGTTCTACATGGGGGCTACAGATTGAATTGAACGTATGGGACTGTGGTGGGAATGTTGTGGAAACATACCCTCTTCAGCATCTTCGACTTCTTCGCCGATGGATGACAGGAAGGTGGTGAGTTCTTCCATTGGGTTAGGAGGTAGCTGTGTGTCGGTGCTCTGAGTAAGGTTAGGAGGATCTTGGGAGATTAGATCGGAGGCTCGAGCTTCTAGGGTTAGGATAGTCTAGTTAGTTTGGACCGGGGGGGGGGGGGAAGCTGCTTCCGCGTCTATCGGGAAGGTAAAATGTCTCGAATGGAAGCTACCTACAGTAGCCTCATTAGCAAAGTCTGGACTGTTTTTTCTTGTCTTGTGATGATACCCAGGATTTTCCCTGTAGCGCCATGTATCGCGCCGATCGGAATAGAAGCGACAGTTGAGAAGAGGGGAGGAAGCAATGTAAGTACCTAATTAGGGTTGAGTCGGGATAGCAGCCGATTGATCTACTGTACTTTTCCATGGACGAGATTTACGGAGTCGAGAGGCATGCTCCATTGTCGCAGTTTTTTGTTTGCTGTCGATGACAGCCGAGGAACTTTTGGAGCAGACGTTAACTGGTACCCCTGCTGATTGGTCGATACTGGACCCACTGACTGGATATAAACAGGAAAAGTGGTGCGTAATGAATGCACTTGGTGCAGGCCCTTATGAGCTCGTTAACTTTCATTATGCATGATTACTACTCTACGAAGGCGAATTCTGCAATGGGAGTTTTCTTCTAGTAATAGGTAGTGAAGTATTCACTTTTGAGTCAAGACGGAGATCTTCGAGTGTTGGGCGATTTTCCCAACAGAATACGGATTAAAGCTTCCCCCGAAGCTCCGGCAGTATACTTTGCAAAGGAGCATGGTCGGTTTATTTGACCATGTATCGGCTTCAAAAGATACAAAAGAGACGGCTTCGGTACGAGGATTGTTTATGCAACACGGCACAGGGTCTCGGACATTATCAGAAGCCTGGGGGGTTCTTTTGTCTGAACCGCGGTAAGGGGCGAAGAGGAGAGAGAAGAAGTTCCGAGCAACCTTGTCAGTTAAAGATTTAGCCGTAGTTTTAGTCGATTTTAATCACTATGGATACCCTTTTCCTTGAGGTCTGTGTGGCATCAGGGGGGGGTTGTGTCTCGTGTTACCGGCAGGTTCGCAATCATATGGGATGAACCAGAACCAAGATAAAGGAAGGGGGAATCTGGTAGAACAATGGAATAAAGGAATCGTAGATTTCCTTCCCCCTGCTACAATAACCAAGTTCCGCTAAAGTGCAGAAGAAATCGAAAGGCAGGAACGTAGTTCCGTTCACGTCATTGGAGTGCTCAGACCGCCTTGGAACAAATGCCCAGCCGCAAAAGTCTCGCCCTGACTTCATCCGTTCAAGCTTCATCTTGAGCTGAGCCCGTTCCTTCTCCTCTTCTCTCTTCCCTCTCGTATTCCTTCCCCCGCATTTCTTTATCTTCCTCTCTCATCTGATCTCCTCTCCGACTCAATACCACACACTACCTTCCCACTCTCTGCTCTCGACAATTCGGGAGTGAAGAGTCGCTGGTGTGTTCCCGTACAACTCGTATCCACGACTTAATATTCTCCGTAAGTTGTTGTTTTGAGTTCTGCCACCCTGGAGTTGATCCGTGGGTTCCTGTTATTCGCACGTTTTTTGTCCGCCCGACTCTTGAGCATTTCAGATCGTCTTCCTCGGTAACCGGCCGACTAATTCCTTTAAAAGCCAGTTACCTTTTCCTCCCAACCTTTCTCTTGTATTAATACCCCCCGTATTTCTTGTAATTCACCCGCCAAGATGTCACAACAAAACGCTCATCTTCAACCGCGCATTTCCAAGAAGGCCCCCTTTTCAGTGGAGGTTCCTGGTGTTGAGGCAAAGCCTGGCGAGACTGTTCCCCGTCGACTGCCGGCGGCAAAGGATGGACTCATCCTGAAACCTGCGGAGGATGTCGCAACCACCTACGATGTCTTCCGCCGCTCTGCGCGCGTGTTTGGTAACGCAAAGGCTGTCGCAAGTCGCCGCTTGATCAAGACTCACGAGGAGAACAAGAAGGTCAAGAAGGTCATCGACGGCGTCGAAAAGGAGGTCGACAAAAAGTGGACATACTTCGAGATGAGCGGTTATAGCTACAAGAGCTTCGTCGAGTACGAACAAGTGGCTCTCCAACTTGGTGCGGGTCTGAGGAAGCTTGGACTCGAGGCAGGAGACAAGATCCATCTTTACGGTGCAACAAGGTGAGTGTGCAGTTTGACTCGCAGAAAAGTATATTGGTGAACTGGCTGACGCAGATCCTTAGTGAAAACTGGCTGGCCATGTCACACGGTTCGTTACGGCTGTCTTGCGCGCGACGGTGTTCCGCATACTAATTCTGAGCAGGAGCTGCATCCCAGTCGTTGACTATCGTTACTGCCTATGACACCCTGGGAGAGGATGGATTGAAACACTCCCTCGTCCAAACATCCAGCGTTGCCATGTTCTGCGATCCCAATCTCGTTCCCTCCGTGGCCAACGTACTGAAGGACGTTAAGTCGATCAAGCATATCATCTGGAACTCGCACCTGGCACCCAAGCAGGCGGACCTGGAAAGGCTGAAGTCTGAGTACGAAGACATCAATGTCATCAGCTTCGAGGACCTCCGGACGTTGGGTGAACAGAATCCGGTGGAACCTGTCCCACCATCTTCTGAAGATCTCTGCTGCATTATGTACACTTCCGGATCTACCGGCCCGCCGAAGGGTGTTCCTCTCACCCACGGAAACGTCATCGCTGCAAGTAAGCTAATCCAACCGTTCGCACCCTGATATGTCAAACTAATGTCGAATAGCTGCCGGTATTAACACAATTGTCGGACCATACATTGGGCCTTCCGATGCTCTGTTGACTTATCTCCCCCAATCGCATATCCTTGAGTTTATGTTCGAGAACCTCTGTCTAATCTGGGGTGGTACCATGGGTTATGGAAACCCACGGACATTATCGGACGCTTCGATGCGTAACTGTAAGGGCGACATTCGTGAATTCAAGCCTACGATTCTTGTCGGTGTGCCCGCTGTGTGGGAATCAGTGAAGAAGGGTGTGCTTAACAACTTAAACAAGAATAACTTGATTGTGCGAGGCATGTTCTGGGGTGCTATGGCCGCTAAGAACTTTTTGATGACGACCGGGTTCCCTGGTCACGGTGTGGGCTCTTCATTACTGGATGCTATCGTCTTCAAGAAGTTGAAGGAGGCGACTGGTGGCCGGTTGCGCATCATGATGAACGGTGGTGGTCCAATCTCGAAGGATACCCAGAGGTTCCTGTCTATGGCCATTGCCCCAATGATCAGTGGATATGGTCTCACCGAAACCTCGGCTATGGGTGCTCTGAATGACCCTATGGCCTGGAACCCGGACGCCCTCGGTGAAATCCCTGCTTCTGTTGAAGTGAAACTCGTTGACTTCCCTGATGCCGGGTATTTCACGAAGAGTAACCCCCCACAAGGAGAAATCTTCATTCGTGGAGGTAGTGTGAGCAAAGGGTACTGGGACAATGAGGAGGAAACCAAGGCTGCCTATACCGAGGACGGGTGGTTCATGACCGGTGACATCGGCGAGTTTGATAAGAACGGCCATCTTAAGATCATTGACCGCAAGAAGAACCTCGTCAAGACGCAGAACGGTGAATATATCGCTCTCGAGAAGCTCGAATCTGTCTACCGCTCCTCTCCCCTTGTGGGCAACATTTGCGTCTATGCCGCTCAAGATCAGGACAAGCCTATTGCTATCATTGTCCCGGTTGAGGCCGCGTTGAAGAAGCTCGCCCACGAGAATGGTATTGAGGGTGACACTCTGGAGACTTTGGTTCACAATGAGAAGCTGAAGGGGATTGTTCTCAAGCAGCTCCAGACCGCGGGTCGTGCGGGTGGTCTCAAGGGCATTGAGATTATCAACGGTGTGGTGTTGGCCGACGAAGAATGGACCCCCCACAATGTAAGTTATCGCTGCTTTCCATTGATTGCAATAGTATCACTAACTTGCTCTAGGGATACATGACCGCCGCTCAGAAGCTCCAGCGCAAGAAGATCGTCGGTCACTTCCAAGACGACATCGACCGTGCGTACGGCAAAAAATAAATGACGGAGTCACTGATGTTACGCTGCAGCCGAGTAAATCATAATCATATATATCTCTTAGTTTATTCCGATGTCTGGTTTATTTTGCTATGTACTGCATTGCCAGTTCGGGTTGTGATTGTTTCCTTTTCCTCTATCTAAGCTGTGTATTTCCTTAGTTTTTCTTTTCTTTTCTTTTCTATTCTTCCTTGTTCAAATATCCCATAGGACGGCGATTGAAAATGTGTTAACGTTTATCTTCGCATTAGTAAAGAGCATAATGAATTGCAGATGATTAAATGCATGCTTATCCTAGCCAACTAATTTGATGTCCACGCATATTCACTTTTAACCCGCAGGAATTGATAGCAGTATGACGTATCATCCATTTATATATGACAAGCCCTTCTAATAGCCGTAATGTAGTTAGTGCACATGTAGGGTAAGGTACTACACACTAATATCCCCCTAACCATAAGTGAAGCCAGAAATACCATTAACCATATATGCTATTAAATTGCATATGTAGCCCTAATTCAGGAAGCAATGTACGGTGAAGCTAAGTCACGAGGACCCCATTCACCACATACCTAGGCATGTTAAATGCAGAGAAATGGACTTCATCTGAAACTTGTAATTTATAAAGCTCCTTGTTATTTAGTCAAGCAACCATAAGGGCAAGCAAGAAATTACTCTTCCGTCATTTCGGAGCTCGATTTGAGGACCTCCAATTCTGGGCGACGTGGGAGATTAAAGTGATTGGCACATACTCAATACAAAATGATACAACGAACTCACTAATTCAACCCACTGGGCCTTTCTTCTACATATTAACCTGTACAGCACCGACCTTTGCCTTTCCACTAATAATGTATCGAAGCAACCTTGATAATGCACGTATGGCCTCAAGCCAGTCTTCTTTGAAACACAGATTGTAGCCCCGTGTGAAATTGAGACTTTTAGTCTCATTTTCTGAGTATCCTTCGGCATGGACTCTCGTGATAAGGCCTTTTGGAAAGTATCCACGTGCAATATGAAGATATGGCCCATGGAAACCAATTATGAAAACTTCCTGATCCTCGAAGCCGGTCTGCAGAATACTAAGATTTCTGGTAAGTTGGCCCAGCATCGCACTATAAGTCTCGATCAGGAATTCATCCCATGTCTGATTTTCGAGTCCCTAAAAGATATTAATAACGCTGGCTATCTTAATAGGACGGAATATAGATATGGTATGTAACATACCCCAGTAAAAGAAATAATGGGTAGGTATTGAGTTCGTGGTCCAACAATAGCTGCGCCCTCCACTCTAGTTCTATATCGGTTACCACCGATGGTATATTTCAACCCACGTGGAGAGGACATGAATCTAGAAAGATTAGTATTACTAGCAATATAGACAGACAGAGGCATGGAACTTACTGAACCCTGGGCCCTTGCTCTTTGATACCCTCAAGATTAAAATAGATATTCTCCATCAATACTCTTGTCATTGAGCACTGTGCACGGATAAGCGGTCTGGAATACTCTCTCGTAGCTATTTCCCAGCTTTTCTTAGGTATGGTGATTGTCTCGCTGGCTGTGAGAATATTCGAGATCAAGGTATCACTGGACGTATTATTTTTCACCGGCCCACAGACTTCGAGTTCAACATGGAAGTTGTATAGCTCATAGAAGAAAGATTTGAATCTGCAGTCTAATTCGGGCCAGTTAAATGTGCAATCTTTTATCTGCGACATCTGAATCTTTGAAGACCCAAGGGATGAGTCTGGCCACGTCCTTATCTTGGATAATACCTTGTCAACAGACATGTGTTATCAGAGGAAAGGGATATATTTACCTTCAGTTTCACAGTCTACGACTCTGGGTATCAAGCTATCAATGTCGGTAATTTTGGAGTGGATAGTTACTGACATGTTGATGAAGAACAAGGGATAGTAGTTGGCAGTGTGACGGCGGGTATGTATGGAGTCCTCTCATTGCTGTTATTACGCTATTAGGGAGAAGTCAGCCAGCCAATGAAAATACTTGGATGCTAACTACCGAATTGGATGGGCACTAGATTATTACAAGCTGACTCTTATCGCAGATTATTCCATTGTATTCATAGATTTAGAATCGGCCGAATAACAGACTATGTACAAAGAGTATAGACTGAGTTCAAGTATGCTTACCATGCCCGAGATACTAGTTATCATGTGTATCTATTGACTTAATCCCGAGTGCTCCTTCTCCTGCATCTACGTGTAGGGTATGAAGATCTGATAATGTCGGGTAGACAGGACAATTCGCTTTCGGATGATCAAACCATTAGAGATCTGCAAGGAATGTAGAAGCTTGACGCTACGTAAATCAGCGATCATGATGTACTGCATACGTCGTGGCCATCGGCCGTTGTAGGATGTTAAAGTAGGTAAAAAGCAAGTTGCTATCTCGTTACTTGCCTGCTGGTTATACAAAGAGCGACAAGCTATCTCATGTTTTTAAGCTAGTTAATACAGGATTGCAGTGACAGCATTATAAGTGGTTCAAAAATACTGTGGAGAAATCAACGTAGACTTTTCGAAGTGAAGAGAGAAAGTGACTGACTGCATGAGCACACCTGTGAATCAGCTGATATATAAGAGCTTTCAAAGTCAGAAGACACCATCAGGACTCGTTTCCTTCTGTCATATCTTTAGCAGGCTCAGAGTTTGGCCACTTGCCAGCCCAGGAAAAGACAGCTGTTCAGCTTCTCGACCAGATCCCCTTAGCAGTGCCACGAGTGGCCTGGAAGATTCGCACCATGGCTTAACGGCATCTAGTACATTATGCCTGGGGAAAAGCTAGACTCCTGGCGAAATCAGACAGCGAACGAAGCAATTCAAGTGACCTTCCACTTTCCGGCGGTTCCGCCCGACGCCCGTTATGCCTTCGTCGTTGCACAGTATCCAGGTTGGATTGTCAACAAGCCTAACTCACTGAACTCGCCGTGCGCCGCAGCCGGCTTTGGGCAAGCAGGCAAAACTTTTGGTCGCCCACGAGGAACTCTATCGGACGTGTGAAGATCCCGCTGCGTTGGAAGTAGCATGGCGTTTGTGTTCCAGAAATTGGAACGAGGTATACATGATTATCAATGTCGAATCTGGGATAGAAAATGACACTGCAGCAGATAACACTGGAAGTAGTGGCATAGATCTCTCAAAGGATTCCATTAGGCGATACTACCTTTCAGTATATCCCAGTACTGTTTACCATACATCCATAAAATATCTTTAGGTCATTTCGCTAATAGACCGTCAGGTACTATATATGATATACCTGCACCATGTCAGTATCTTCCTGTCTGTAGCCAAGTACTCTTAAGAAGAAAGATGGATCTGTAAGTGTTCCCTATGTAACCACTTTCTAAGCACTTCAAGCGGTCCCTAACTGCTTACTAACTGCTTAGAATGCGAAGAATGAAACTGTCCTTCACTATGGTGAAGTCTTTTGCCGGATTGAAGACTGCGCTAAAGCAAATGCATACCCTTCCTGTACTGCTTCCTGAACACTTCCTAAGCACCTAGTAAACACTTTTTCTTTTATTTGGAAAATATGTTAACCGGTTGTCAACTACTTTAAAAACGATTTTCAGCCACTAACAATCTGCGCATGATATCTCCAGTGCCCAAGGGATTGATGTCTCTAAACAAGCCGATGACTATCTATCAGAACATGTTTGGATCAGGCGAGCATGGAGACACATGAATGTTATTCTTAAGGGGAGAATTGATGAACCTGCTTAATTCCTCTGGAACCCAGGATTTATTCCAACAGATACTCGGTTATTCGTTGAATTCGAACTCAAGAACTGTAAGCACCGGAAGGTACCAGATGCGAGAGAATATCTTAAGACGAGAGGTTCCCACATCTAAAATATACAAACAATATCAGGTAACCAACAGGGTCATTTCCCGGATACTATTGGAGGCCAGTATTACTCTATCTTTCTCAAACCCTATCTTAATGGCCAACTGCCATACAATTCTGTTGAATTGATATCAACCCCCAAGCAGTAGCACGAGTTCCCTTGACCTGCCTTAGGAGGTGCTTCTATGTATTAGACAGTCCGCGCCTTTTTAGACAAGCAGATACGCGGTGAGCGAGAGAAATTCCGTGGCCTATATTTTCGGCCAAGGGGGAGATTCTCCACACTTGCTCAACGAACTGGATGGTGTCCTCATCGGGCCACAACTTAACATAAAAGTTCTTCTTTACCCCTGCGAGAATCTAAAGGGGGATTAGCTGTATCTTTGAACGGATACTGTTGATGCTGCCTAGTTAGGCCCAGCGCTGTTGTTCTTCCTAAGCGATTTCTTCTTCCCACAGTCATGTTGATAGAACCAAGCAACATAATCATCTAATCAAGGAACTTAACCTACGGGACCTTTTGTCAGATACTAAACCAAGCAAAAGCATATTCCTCAACAGAATTCCCACCATATTCTCGGCGGTATAGGGAATATTTGATAAATTCAAGGGACCATTTGTCGTCGCTGGCCACACTTTCTCATCGCTAGACGAACTTTCCTCTCAACTGAGGACTTGGGCCGCCAAACTACCGAAGGAAATCTACATGCAGCATTTTCACAAGGCCCTGTATATTCCCCATTCAATGGTCCAATCCTTGTTTCACATGGTCCACGATGACCGGAACTATCAAGGCCTCGCTGAATGAGTGGGTGCTTTATAGGGCTTTATTATTTTTCGAACCCACAGGAATCTCGCTGAATATATTAAGCATTACCCTACCTGCTTATGTGGAGATGTACGCTGCCACCAACCTTATGGTAGCTTACATCCCTATCGTTGTGCTGCCGGTTCTACTCTACACGATTATGTTAGATTTTATTGTGGCTTTTCCTATCAACCAGGGCTATAACCAGTTGTTAGTTATTGTTCATAAAAAAAAATCACTAAATGTGTTGGACTGATCCCTGGTTGCGCCAACTGGACTGCTTCTAAATAGGGAGAGACACTCATTGGATACTTCCAAGGGCATGACTCAAGAAAGGCATAAGAACGATGAGCTAGAGGTGTTACGTCAAAAATTGAAGCAGTACGAGACCAAGTACGGGCTGCTGGACTAACACAGTTAGCAAAGTCTTACGTTTTCCTTTAGTATTTTACTTTTAAGATGGTTGTCAATCGTGCACTAAGCTTAAAGCACTTTCCATGACCTTTACGCCTGTTTTTGTATTTAGCACACATGCGACCATGAGATAATTTTCCGCGGCATTTGTTGCATATTGCACTTTGTGCCTAGTTGGCAACTGGTACAATATGTTCACTACAACTCGAGCTGTATACTTTAAGAAAAGAACAATCAATATAATCATGAAGAACACAACAAGTCCTTGACAAATGGTCATTTATGGCCCAAGTTCCTCAATTTTATCTTTGCTTATTTGGCCGCAATGATCACCTGTAATTGGATCAGATATACCGTGGTATGACTAGTCTTATAAGTTATTAATCTAGTCATCGACATTATGATGGTTAAAATATATGCAAGCGGTCTAAGTGATATAGTATATGTTAAACTGGTTATCGAGATCCGGGACATATCCGAGGATACACAGCTCCCTCCTCGTCGTAGCAAATCTAAGTTGATTCTTATGTACTCGTTATTTATTAACCATTCCTTAGACACTAGTTGGTTATCTTTGTTCATCTTCGCGGATTCCAGATCAGTTTTATCCTAGGAAAGCAGCTCAAATCATCTTGTGACTTGAAGGCCAAGGGATGCTCTGAGAATAAGCAAATCGTGTCAGAAATGATATTGATGCAATCAGAAAACCTACGGTGAGCATGAAGCCCAACAGGCAATAGACTCATTTACCATCGAAATATATGGCAGCCGGTTTATTGTCACCTTTGTGACAATTATAGAAAAGTATCAGGAATCAATGAGCCTCCGAACAATGATAACTTCATACAGACAAGGCTACGATCATTGTATATAGACATTGAGCCCTAGTAATAGATTTCAGGATCTTATTGACTACATTGCATGTATGCTTTGTCTGATAGTTGAGGAACATAGGATCATACACATATCAAGGATGATACAATGACTGACATACTCAAACTACCAGAGCTTCATGTATGAAAGACCTGTGATTGAAATGCACCATGCATCATATGCCCTTTCTTTCTGTTTTATCATCATCCCATTCTATCAATTTCTATCCCTATCCTCTATTCTCTCCATATATTACCAAAAGACACCTCTCCATCCTCCCAATCGCTAGACCCAGTAATGCACCCCCAAATACGCAAAACCCCCAAAGACCACCAGATAAACTCCAC